TGAGAAATGTTGCGAGAATCCACCAATTGAAGACTGAAGTCGCAAACTGCAAACAAGGAAGTGACTCTATCATGTCTTTTTTATGGAAGGATTAAAATATTGTGGGATGATGTTAACGACTATGATCAAATGCCTTTGTGCACTTGTAATGGGTGCAATTATGATATCAATGTTAAATTGACAAAGCATAGGGAAGAAGAAAAATTTCATCAATTTCTGATGGGATTGGATGACACGCACTACAACACAATAAGATCAAATATTATTGCGTCTGATCCCTTGCCGAATATGAATAAGATCTATTCGCAAATCACTGAGCAGGAGCAAGTTAGAGTCATGACACAAGGCGGCGGTGAGCGGCTTGAAGCTATGAGCCTTGCAACAAAAATTCAAACTTCAGGAGGAAAAAATCAAGGGGGGGGGATCGACGAGAAGGTTTGATATGTTCACATTGCAGACGCACAGGCCATACAGTAGATACTTGTTATTGTATTCATGCTTTTCTGGAATGGAGAGCCAATCAACAAGGTCATGGTGGTCGAGGAAGAGGTGCTCAAGCGGGAAGAGGAGCAGGGCAATTGGCAAAGGTAAATGCTGCTCAAATAATCGAACCCACTTCATCCACCAATACCATTGGTGATGCGGACAAAGTTGGACTTGAAGATCTTAAAATTGAAGATTGGGAAATTCTGAAGTCTCTATGGAAGTAATCACAAGTCCACCTCGACGAATCGATTAACCGGTAAGAAATCTTTTCAATGGATTTTTGACACGGGAGCTTCACATCATATGACTGGAGATATTGGATTGCTCTGTGAATGCTGGGACATTAACCCTTGTCCTGTTATCATGCCAAATGGAAAGAAAGTGCTAGCTACTAAGGAGGGTTCAATGAAACTAGGACAACTATTTCTAAAGGGTGTTCTATTTGTGTTGGACCCTAAGTCCCCAAGTCCAAAATGACTTAAATGTCGAAGATAGTGACTTTCATCAGGCTGCGGAGCTTCCATAGAGCAAGAATATATGACTTCCATAGACCTTCGGACGACAAGCTCCATCAACTCTGAATCGGCAACCTCATGACACTAATGGAAGACCATGAAGAGTGAGGGTTCCATGTAACTCAAGGCTGTCGGGAACATATTCCCGTAGACCGGCTGTGAGTATGATGGAAACGAATCAGGGTAGGTTGCAGGTATGATCCGAAGGCAATGGAAGAGATCCAAAGCGAATGGAACTTGGTCCAAGAACGATGGAAGATGCTCAAGACGAATGGAACCCGGTCCAAGAGCAATGGAAGCCGCTGGGAACTGATGAAAGGAGGTTCTTTGATAGTTAAGAGAAGTAGAAAGAAGTGAGAATAATTTGTAACCATCCCTGTTAGTGGGAGAAGTGGTTATTCTAGCTTAGAATTACAAGTAGGAAAAAGAAACACAACACACACACGCACAACAAAACAATTCGTCTATTTTCTTACTTTCCTTTTATGTTTTATTTTCGTTTAATGCATTTTTATTCGAATTACATACGTTTATCCGCTTTCCAGTAGATTTATCCGAGTTTTATTAGATGTTAGTTTAAATCCATTGAAATCGGTCGTTTAGGCTTGAAGCCTCGTAGGAGCCGCCTTCAATCCGACGACGGACAGGCTTTTTGGAGTACTTCCGGAACCCATACCGACAAATCGACGAACATTCTTGGAACCTCCGAATTGCAGGATCCAACAATTGGCACGCCCAGTGGGACCAAGTCGGATTTGTATTCATATATGCAACTTCGCAGCGGTAAAGTGATCGCCATGGACAATCAGAATCAGGGTGCAGGATTTACTGGAACTGGAACGCCGGTTCATCCCAGTGGAAGCCGCATCCCAGGGCTGAGGAGACATGAGAAATCATCGTCGACCGAGACGATGGTGACCATGGTGCGCAGAGAAGTGAATCAGTGTATTCAGGCCGGAATTGAAGATATCGCGTATGAAATTTCCAGGCAATTGGCTGATGTGATCCGGCCAACTGTAAGGAATGAAGCGTTTCAGATTCGCAAAGAAGAACGCCGAGCAACGGCTAGTGGAATCCAGAATTCTGGAATTTCAGGAAACACATAAAGAGGACCGAGAGGGGTAACTCCATCTGCTAGAGGGATTCCACCTCTCACAGGAAACGTCGGTTCTAACTTGGTTCGTGGAAACACTGGATCGCCTAGGGGACCGACGGGTGGAGCAGGATTGCAATTCGGTAATGTGACGATTCTCCAACGCCCGCAAGGAGGGCAACCCAGTGGAGGTTGTGGCCCTCAAATGGTGGGAGGACAAGATGTCGCCAGAAATGGCGTCTACAGAGCCCCTCCAGGAACAGCGTTGCCAGGGCAGGTCGCAGGACAGTCTGCTTGGAACGCACCTCCACCGCCGTGGGCGCAGCAGGCTCCTTATGCCGTTGTCCCTTAAGGAGGAATGGCTGGTCAAGCTTGGGGACCAGGAGGGCAGCTGCTGATTCCTAATCAGCAGGAAGCCCGACCATTAATAGATACGGTTATTCTAGTGGAAAGTATCCGAAGAGCTTTCCTGCGAATGAAATTCGAAGAGCGACCGGTGTATCAAAGACCCTACCCAGCTTGGGTAAGTGAGATGATGCCGTTGCCCGTTCGAAATAAAGCACCAGATTTTACATTGTTCTCCAGCGAGGATGGGAGATCAACGATAGAGCATATCGGGAAATTTACAGCTCAGTGCGGGGACTTGGGAGGAAATTATTGGTATCGTTTACAATTGTTTTCTTTGTCTCTGACGGGTACGGCATTTTCGTGGTATACATCATTAGCTCCAGGTACTGTGCAGTCTTGGTCGGATTTGGAGAGGCTATTTCACGACCGTTTTTACGCGCCACCGGTGGAGACTACGATATCCCACATGGTAGCTGTAAAACAGGGATATGATGAGCCTGTGGCACAATTTTTGGAAAGGTTTCGACAAGCTAAGACACGGTGCACAGTGCAGATCCCCGAACAGCAAGCAACCGTGATGGCAGTGGATAATATGCGATCAGATCTTCGAGACCGGTTGGGAGTTCAGGATTTCCAGGAATTTTCGCATTTAAGTGCACTCGCAATGAGGGCAGAAAAGCTCATTCGAGAAAGACGGGATGCTGATGTAGGTAGGTGGAAAAAGGATGGAAAAGCAGGGATAACTTGCTGTGTGGATGAGGAAAGTTCAGCCGACGAAGATTATGGCGAAGAACAAGATGTGTTAGCGGCTGAATTGTTGAAAGGAAAAACTTACTCCTGTTCGGCATTAAAACCTACAAGGGGTAAGGAGGTCGGAGGCGTGCAGTATACCTTCGATGTGTCTAACGTAGAACAGATTTTTGATCATCTACTGAAGGACAAACAAATCAAACTCCGAGACGGGCAGCGAGTGCCGTCACTAGAGGAATTGAAAAGGAAAGTGTATTGCAAGTGGCATGGGAGTTATACACATGCTACCGCAAATTGTACGTACCTACGAAACACGATTCATAAGGCTTTAGACGAGGGTAGACTGAAGCTAACAAAAATGTGTATGCAGGTGGATGCGAATCCGTTTCCTGCACCATCCATTAATAATATGTCTACAAGAGGTCTCAAGAGACAAAACAAAGGGAAAGAACTGGTTCGACAACCGGTTCATGAACGACTCGGGCCCAGGGTTCCATAACGGGGTTCAGTGTTCAATAGGCTGTCTGTAAGAAAGATGCCTAATGGAAATGTTGGAAATAAAGAGCCTAGGGTCGTAGAAAAGAGCCCTAATCTGAAAGTGACAATTCCGAATGCCCAGGAAATTCGGGAGCATCATAATATGACGACGAAAGCCACAGCTCCAGGCCCAATTATTAAGCCGGATGCCACGGTGGCTGAAGTGAAAGTTGCTAGTGGGAAACGAGTCTAGACCATTACATCTGCCGATCAGATTACTATTACTTCAAGAAAGACACGGAAACCTCTATCAGCCGTAGATTCGGAGAAGTGGACTGTTAATGTGCTGGAGACAAATGCCAGGAGGGAAATGGGTGACCTTACACGTTCCCAGAAGAGAAGGCAACAAAGGAAACAACTACAGGCTAAGTTGGAAGCTGAAGGTGTTCAGCCAAATCAGAAAAGTGCAGGGTTTAAAGGCAAGAAAATTGAATTGGAAATTCAGCAAACAACAAATCAAGACGGAAAAGTCTCGGAAACCTGTGAGCAAAAAGAGAGACCTCAGAAAAATCATGAGTTACAACCTCGCATAATTTTCTCTACTCCAAGCGCCGGACCGACTCCAAACTGGCAGCATCGATGGGTGCCGAAAACTGTACAACCAAAAGAGTGTGGTGCTGGAGATGGTCATCTATCAGTCGTGGGGGTATTGCCTTCTGAATTCAAAGCTCCAGAAGGGGAGCAGAGTTATGAGGGAGTGACCGTAGATGAAGAACCAGCGGCAGAATGGAACGATATAGTGACAACGGTCACTTTTGATCGAATCAGGTCCGGGCAGAATAAACACGTAAAACCCCTGTATATCCAAGCTTTAATGGAAGGACGACCAGTGGGCAGAGTATTGATAAGACGGTGGCTTATTCGCCAATGTAATGCCATTTCGGACGGTCAGAAAGTTAGGAAAGACAAGGGATGAGTTAATACCAACTTCGGTGCGAGCTACAGATTTTATGGGAAATTCGTATAAACCGGCGGGAATCGCTAATGTGGAGGTACAAGTAGGCACCAAGAAGTTGTCCTCAGCGTTCGTAATAATAGACAGTCGCCCTTCGTATGCAGCATTATTGGGGCGAGATTGGATTCACGCTTGCGCGTGTGTACCGTCAACTTTGCACCAAAAACTGTTGTTCTGGGATGGCGATGAGGTTCAAGAAGTGGAGGCGGAGAAAGACCCATTCGCAGCAGAAGTTACAGCTGTAGATGCAACTTTCTACTATTCGAAGATGATCCGTTGTCTGAAGTAATCGCCTCCATGCCTAACGAGAGAAATTATGAATGCGTGTTTAGCGATAATCAATTCAGAATTCAAGAGAAGGCCGATCCACGGCCTACGAATGAAGAAGATTATGATGAATTTCAAATGCGTCAAAATTCAATTTGAGCCGCACGGAGCAGGCTCTATTACAAATACAGGGTCGTTCAGAGCAGGTTCCACAGAAGGTGGTGGGCGGTTGGAAACAGGTTCTGTGGCGAGTCCGGAGCCGTCTAGAGCTGGCCCCTTAGAAAACCCTGGGCCGCTCGAAACAGCCTTTGTTACGCAACATCCAGAGCCGACCAGAGCAGACCCCGAGGAAGAAGCGGAACGGCTTAGAGGAAAATGCACCGGCGGTCCGGATCTGTCTAAGAAAAGTACTGGTGAAGTGGAATTACCGTCACTTGTGCATAAAACCTATCCAGCGTTCCAGGCCCAGGATCCACTGGAAGATTTCGACCTGAGTACCGATGAATCTCCGCGAATCACTAAAGTTAGCGCGCTGTTGAAGTCAGAAGATCGAGCTGCTTTGGTAACACTTATAAAGGAGTACCGGGACTGTTTCGCTTGGGATTATGACGAAATGCCAGGCTTGGCTCGGGAACTAGTGGAACATCGGCTACCCATAAATGCCGGGTATAAACCCAACAAACAGCCGCCGCGAAGGTTCAACCCAGATGTATACCCGAAGATCAAGGAAGAGATCCAGCGGCTTTTGGGAGCAGGATTCATTTGGACTTGTCGTTACCCGAAATGGGTAGCCAATGTCGTTCCCGTACTTAAGAAAAACAGAAAATTACGGGTATGCATCGATTATCGCAATCTGAATCTGGCAACACCCAAAGACGAGTACGTCATGCCTGTTGCCGATATGTTAGTAGATGCAGCCGCCATGAACGGAAGTTTGTTGTTTATGGATGGGTATTCCGGCTATAATCAGATTTTTATAGCCGAGGAGGATGTTGGAAAGACGGCATTCCGATGCCCAGGAGCCCTTGGAGTGTACGAATGGGTGGTGATGCCGTTTGGGTTGAAGAATGTTGGAGTGACTTACCAGCGAGCAATGAACACCATATTCCACGATTTAATTGGATAGTCGGTGGAAGTCTACAATGACGACATAGTGGTGAAATACAAGAGTTTCCCGGAGCATATGGTGGATCTCGAACAAGCCTTCCGACGAATGAGGCATTATAACTTGAAGATGAATCCAGCGAAGTGCGCGTTCGGAGCGGCCTCCGGAAATTTTTTGGGTTTCATGGTGCATAATAAGGGCATTGAGGTGGATAGTAACAAGACGAAAGCTATCATCAACGCCCGACCGCCTGAGAATCTGAAACAACTTCAAGGATTCCTTGGGCAGGTCAATTTTCTATGGAGATTTGTCTAGAATGCTGCAGGCAAGCTTAAAGCTTTTTCTACACTGCTCAAGTTGCGGAAAACAGAAGAGTTCGTATGGGAGCCGCTACACCAACTGGCTTTCGAAGCCATTAAAGGAGCTATGGCCAATCCACCAGTGTTGATGCCTCCGCAAGCAGGCAAACCTCTGCGCTTGTATGTTTCCGCCACTGAGAATACGGTTGGTTGCTTACTGGCGCATAAAGCTCCCGATAGAAGCGAACGTGCCATTTTTTACCTCAGTAAGGTAATGAATGATGCGGAGACAAGGTACACTCCTATGGAAAAATTATGTCTCGCATTATTTTACGCTTGTAAGAAACTTGAATATTATCTAGCCCCAAGAGAAACAGAAGTGGTATGTCACGTCGATATTTTGAGATATCTTTTAGGCAGGCCAGCTTTAAGGGGAAGACAAGCAAAATGGGCCGTAAAGCTAGCCGTGTTCGATCTACGGTAAGTACCGATCAAAGCTGTTAAGGGACAGGTTGTTGCTAACTTTCTAGCAGATCATCGGAGTCCGGTGGCTGACCAAGCAGCTTATCGCATGGAAGCTGGTATTAGTCCGATGCCTTGGATCTTGAAGTTCGACGGGTCCAGCACGCAGACTAATGCTGGGGCTGGTGTATTCATCGAGAGTCCCTGTGGACAAAAGTGGACTGTTGCCAGGTCATTAACACCCGGATTCACTAACAATCAAGCAAAATACGAAGCCTTATTAGTTGCATTGAGAATCCTACATAAAAAGGGGGCTAAGGCGATCAGATTTCAAGGCGACTCACAGCTAATTTTGAAGCAGATTACTGGAGAGTTCCAATGCAAAGATGAGAGGATGAGAAATCTTCGAATGGAAGCAGTTAGGATGTTGCAAACTTTCGACGACGCGGTGGTGGAATTCATACCTCGAGCCAAAAACATAATAGCTAATGATTTGGCTCAAGAAGCATCTGGGTACAAGTCATCAGCCGCAGGAAACTTCAAATCAGGTCGAGTACATCTGTACCCAGTAGATACGGAAGACTGGCGTATGGAACTGAGGAAATATTTGGAACAACCAACCGGTGAAACTCCGGAAAAGCTGCGGAAAGAGGCTCTGAAGTATCCTCTGATTGACGGAGATCTTTTCCGCATAGCCACCGATGGAATGTTAATGAGATGCATAGATAATCAAGAAGCCATGAAGGTGATGGGTGAGGTGCATGAAGGAATTTGTAGAGCACACAAATCCGGGCCAGTCATGAGATGGACGATCCGACGATATGGGTATCTCTGGCCATCAATGATAGAGGATTGTATCAAGTACGCTCAAGGATGTGAAGCGTGTCAGCGACATGGTCCTCTGGTCCAAATTCCGGCGGAAGAAATGCACGCAGTGGTGAAACCATGGCCATTCCGGGGATGGGCGATGGATATCATCGGGAAGATTCACCCGCTATCTTCTAGACGCCACTTGTTCGTATTAGTGGCCACGGACTATTTCACAAAATGGATAGAAGCTGTACCGTTAGCCAATGTGACATATCAGGAAGTGACCAAATTCATTAAGGAGCACATTATTCACCGGTACGAAATCCCGCAGACGATTACCGCCGATCAAGGCCGCCTTCACCGCACAGTATGAGATTGCTCTTTTGCATTCGTCCCCGTATTATGCATAGGCAAATGGGAAGGCCGAAGCAGCCAACAAATTCTTAATTGGGGTAATAAAAAAGGCCATAGAAGATAACCCGAGAAGATGGCACGAAGTGTTAGGGGAGGCTTTATGGGCTTGCAGGCAATACCGAAATAAAGCCACTGGTTGCACTCCATTCCAACTGGTTTATGGAGAAGAAGCGATATTGCCGTTGGAAATCACGGTGCCATCGTTACGAGTGTTAAAGCAAAATTCGCTTAGTCCCGAGCAGTACGACACAACGATGTTACAAAGATTGGATGACGTGCACGAGGATCGGATGATGGCTTTGGAGAATATCAGGGCAAATAAAGTGAAAGTAGCGGGAGCCTACAACACAAAGGTACGTCGGTGAACATTCCAAGAAGGAGATTTGGTATGGAAGGCAGTGCTACCCGAAGGATTCAAAGATAATACATTCGGGAAGTGGTCTCCTACGTGGGAAGGTCCGTACCAAGTAAGTAGAGTGCTGCCTAACGGTGCTTATAGATTGATGAGTATTGACGGGATAGAACACAGAAACGTTATCAACATTAAGCACCTTAAAGGATATATGTCACCACTCGAGTTCAGATAAAGAAATGAAATGTGCAAACTGAAAGCAGGCCCTGTTTAGGCCGCTAGATGTAATGAGCGAAATGAAGGCAGGCCCTATTTAGGCCGCTAGATATAAAGCAAAACGAAAGCGGGCTATTAAGTCGCTAATATGTAAAACGAAAGCGAGCTATTAAGCCACTAATATGCAAAATGAAAGCAGGCTAGCAAGCCGTTAATATACAAAATGAAAGCAGACTAGCAAGCCGCTAATATGCGAATGGAAACAAAACGAAAATGAGCCATCGTAAATGGCTGAATGAGTAGTAGATCATAAAATCCAAACAAAACGGCGTGTGGATCAAAGAGAGGCGGATGGTTCCCAAAATTAACACACTGCAGGAAGAGTATCTTCTGCTACTGGGCCCGCAGTGGGTTCAGAGTTATCAAGACCAGGTCCGGTGTCCTTGGGAGTTTGATCTGCCAGGACTGGGGTCGGATCTTCCACAGACAGAGCCGTTCCATCGAGGCTTGACGCCGCTCTCATAGGGACTGAATCTGTCGGAGTTGAACTCAAATTTACCGAATCTGGAGCCAATCTAGCAGGCCCTGGAACCGCTACCAGGGGATCAGACTTGTCGGGGGCGGAATTGGATGTTCGATAGTTGGAACTGTTCCACCAGGAACTGGCACCGCATCCACTGGAGTTGAAACGTCGAAGGTCGGGGCTGCTCCATCAACGATCGGAATTGGACCTGCAGAAATGAGACCCCCCGAAGATAAAGTTGCTCCACTAGAGCTCGAAGCTACACCGGCTAAAGCTGAGCCCTCTGGAATCGATGCTGCTTCCTCGGAGACGAGGACTGCTGAAGTCGAAGGCGATTCGGAAGCATTATGGTCTGCTGCCACTTCTAAGGCTGACATCAAATCCCTCACAACGTGAGCAATAGACACATGGACGTCGGCAACAGTTTGCAATAAAGGTTCAACTACACTACTGGAAGGAAGAGTCGTCGAAGAAGCCATACAACTTGATACTTGCGTTTACCAAACAGGAGAAAAGCCTTCGGAGGAGAAACGAAAGAAGAAGTGGAAAGGGAAGTGATGATAAACCCTTAGGAAAATACCCTTGAATGTCTTTTCTCTCTTAGACGATGCGGGAATCGAAGGAAGCAGCCGTCACATCAAGGTTAGAGGGGTTGACGTGAGATATCAAGTTGGGATAATTTTGTGCCAAGGCCCAAGAAGGTAAGTCCCACACGAAGGAAGTCCCAAAAAGAGAGCAAAGCTTCACGTAGCTTACATTTCATCTCTTTTTTAGGAGGTCAATTGTTGGACCCCAAGTCCAAAATGACTTAAATGTCGAAGATAGTGACTTCCATCAGGCTGCGGAGCTTCCATGGAGCAAGAATATATGACTTCCATAGACCTTCGGATGACAAGCTCCATCAACTCTGAATCGGCAACCTCATGACACTAATGGAAGACCATGAAGAGTGAGGGTTCCATGTAACTCAAGGCTGTCGGGAACATATTCCCGTAGACCGGCTGGGAGTATGATGGAAACGAATCAGGGTAGGTTGCAGGTATGATCCGAAGGCAATGGAAGAGATCCAAAGCGAATGGAACTTGGTCCAGGAACGATGGAAGATGCTCAAGACGAATGGAACCTGGTCCAGGAGCAATGGAAGCCACTGGGAACTGATGGAAGGAGGTTATTTAATAGTTAAGAGAAGTAGAAAGAAGTGGGAATAATTTATAACCATCCCTGTTAGCGGGAGAAGTGGTTATTCTAGCTTAGGATTACAAGTAGGAAAAAGAAACACAACACACACGCACAACAGAACAATTCGTCTATTTTCTTACTTTCCTTTCATGTTTTATTTTCGTTTAATGCATTTTTATTCGAATTACATACTTTTATCCGCTTTCCAGTAGATTTATCCGAGTTTTATTAGATGTTAGTTTAAATCCATCGAAATCGGTCGTTTAGGCTCGAAGCCTCGTGGACGATCGAAGCTGTGGAGGCTCCATCGTAGGAGCCGCCTCCAATCCGACGACGGACAGGCTCTTTGGAGTACTTCCGGAACCTACACCGACAAATCGACGAACATTCTTGGAACCTCCGAATTGCAGGATCCAACAATTTGTCAACACTTTGGATTGTCATTTGGTCTCGGTATCTAAATTGTTGGGTGAGAAATTATATCTTGAAGTTTACTGATCGGATGTGTGTTGTCCAGGACCGCATTTCGAAGATGCTGATTGGAGTGGGTAAAGAACAAGGTGGACTATATCTGGTGCAGGAAATACTTTTGGCTCGAACAAATAAAGTGCATCACAAAGAAATCGAGGTTGATACTTTTATATTATGGCACAATAGAATGGGGCATCCGTCTTCCCAACTTTTAGAGTTACTCTCCCAAATGCAAAATAAAGTGGTCATTGGGCAAAATAAAGAGCATTATTGTGATGTTTGTATGCAAGCAAAGCAAACCCGAAATCCATTTATTTCTATTGAAAATAAAGCTAGTGAGGCTTTCCAACTCATACATTGTGATTTGTGGGGGCCATACAGGGAGGCTTCTTTACGTGGCTCTAGATATTTCCTTACCATTGTGGATGACTTCTCTCGGGCTGTTTGGATATATTTGCTACAAGGAAAGAATGAGGTTGCACCTATTATAAAGAATTTTCTTGCCTTGACTGAGACGCAATTCCATAAAAGAGTTCAAATTTTACGTAGTGATAATGGTTGAGAGTTTACTTGCTTGAATACTTACTTGAAAGAACAAATAATTGTTCATCAAACATCCATTGTTGATACGCCACAACAAAATGATCGTGTCGAACGTAAGCATTGTCATGTATTGAATGTTGGTAGAGCATTGCGCTTCCAAGCACATTTACCAATTAAGTTTTGGGGCAGTATATTTTGACAGCTGGTATCTTATTAATAGAACCCCCACACCCCTTTTGAAGGGTAAAACACCATATGAGTTGTTGATGGGGCGACCACCTTTAATGGATAATATACCTGTGTTCGGATGCCTCGCCTATGCAAAGAATTTGAACTGAGCTAGGGACAAGTTTGCTAGTCGAACTAGAAAATACATTTTTATTGGCTATTCATATGACAAGAAAGGATGGAGTCTATTTGATTTGGACACCGAAGAGATCTTTGAGTCACGTGATATGTTTTTTGTCGAAACAGAGTTTCCGTTTTCTAGACAACTTGAGAATCAAGAGAAGGATGTTGTCATGACCCATGTGGAAGCATGTTCGAGAAAGCTTATTGGGTGAATCCTTCAATGCCTTGCCATAATAGTAGCATCGATGATACTCTACAAAATGTAAATATTGTATCTGAGACTACTCCAATTAGTGATCGAGCTGTTGCGAATTCTATGTAGCCACATATTGATTTGAATGACCATGATGTGCAATCAGAGACCATTATTGATCCATCTCAAATGCACCAACAGCTGCCTGCAACAATTTGTGATATACCTTCCGGTGAAAATCAAATGAGGTCCGAGGTACTTGGAAGAGGCCACCGACAAAAGTTCTCATCTGTTCGTCTTAAGGATTATGTGACACATACAGCTCATCTGAACACCATTGTTTCAGCAACCTCTGGTACACCATATCCTATATCTAACTATCTGACTTGTAATAACTTTTCCATATCGCATCGTCATTTTCTGGCTGCGGTTACTGCAGGAGTTGAGCCTTCCAGTTTTTTGGAAGCTATGAGACATGCATGTTGGCTAGATGCCATGAAAAAGGAAATTAATGCTCTTAAAAAAATGGTACTTCGACAATCGTAGATTTACCAAAAGGAAAGAACGCTCTTGGAAGCATATGGGTTTATAAGATTAAATTTAAGGTGGACGGCTCAATTGAGCGTCATAAAGCTCGCTTGGTTGCCTTTGGAAATCATCAAGTGGAGGGGTTGGATTTTAATGAAACGTTCGCACCCACAACTAAGATGGTGACTGTTCGAACTTTTCTAGCCGTAGTTGTTGTCCAAAGGTGGGAGCTGCACCAAATGGATGTTCATAATGCATTCTTACACGGCAATTTGGAAGAAGAAGTGTATATGCGGATTTCTCCTGGTTTTGAAGTCTCTGAAAATAATCAAGTATGTCGGCTACACAAATCTCTTTAAGGACTTCGCCTAGCTTCGCGTTGTTGGTTTGCCAAATTAACTGTTGCTCTTGCCCAATATGGTTCTACTCAATCCACCTCGGACTACTCTATGTTCACATACAATAAGGACACTCTTCATTTGACGATTTTAATATATGTTGATGACTTGGTTGTTGGTGGAAATAACAGTCATGAGATAGAAAAGTTTAAGTCATACCTCTCCACATGTTTTCATATGAAGGATCTTGGTAAGCTCAAATATTTTCTTGGCTTAGAAGTGGGATACGGCACGAATGGCATATCCTTGAGTCAACGTAAATATCCATTAGATATTTTCTCTGAGACTGGTCTTTTGGGTGCAAAGCCTGTTGGAACACCTATGGAGCAAAAGCATCATCTCGCTTTATCCAATAGTGCCGATTTACTCGATCCTGCTCGCTACCGCCGCTTGGTTGGAAAGCTCATTTATCTGACGATTACTCGACCCGACTTGTCTTATGCGGTCCATGTTTTGGCGCAATTTATGCATTGTCCTAAGGAAGATCATTGGGATGCTCCTGTTCGAGTTGTTCGTTATCTCAAAGCTGATCCTGGGCAAGGGCTTATGTTCAAGTCATCCTCTCTTCTAGAATTACGAGCCTATTGTGATGCTGATTGGGCTAGTTGTCCTTTGACGTGGCGTTCTTTGACAGCTTATTTCATCTTCTTGGGAGAATTGCCAATTTCATGGTGCACGAAGAAGCAACATGCCGTGTCACAATCCTCGGCTGAAGCTGAATATCGTTCTCTTGCTGCAACTACGTGTGAATTGAAATGGTTGCATGGCTTATTACAGAATTTGGGAGTTTATAACTCTTTCCCGATTCCGGTTTACAGTGATAGCAAATCAGCTTTGCATTTAGCTCAGAATCTTGTGTTTCATGAACGTAGCAAACACATTGAGGTGGATTGCCACTATATTCGAGATGAGATACAACGTGGCTTTGTTTGTCCATCTTTTGTGTCTTCATCTCAACAACTCGCTGATATGCTTACTAAAGCTCTTGGGAAGCCAGTTTTCGACAACCTTAGAGTCAAGTTGGGCATTTCCCGTCTTCATTGGCGTATATTGTTGCATGATTGTTGTCCAATTATTTTCCATTAATTGTATTTATTTTCTTCCTTAAATAGATTAAGAATAGAACAATAGTTTAGAAGTTAATTAATATAGGTTTTGGGATTGGATAAACACGAAGGCAACTCTGTTTCTGCACAGAGGAGAGAAAATGAAAGTCATTTTGTTGCTCTTTGTTTTGCTCTTATTTTCACAGACTTATATCTATATCGATCTATATATACCAAGGCTTCTCCTTGACGATATATACGTGAGAAAGTCATTTGTAGGTTTTTTTTCTGTCTGTGTAGTTGTTTGTGTCACCGCGAATTGTTGATCGGTGTCTTGCAGATCCCTTGAGTTGCGCTTTCATTCTCCGGCTCCTTAATTTGTTCATCTGAAGGTAATATATTGTTCGATGTCCTGGATCTGATATCCACCTCCTTCTCTACTGTATCCTTTCTCTTTTCACCATTTGGACGTTGTTTTCATGTAAAGCAAAACTAGGGTTTTGGTATCTAAGTTGGTTGATTTTTTAAAGATGTTTTATTATTATTTTTTCATCAATCTGGGGTCTTCTTCAAGGAAAGTATACCTAAGCGTTTTGATTTCTTGAATGATGGACTTTTTAAATGATTTTCTAATTAAAAAGTTTAGAATCGTCAAATCTAATTTCTCAAAAGTCAGATCTGATGAGA